CATATAGAATATCCAGTTTTCACCACATCATTTGTTAAAAGGCTGTCTTTTCTCCAATGTATTTTGGCAAGAATCAGGTAACCGCAGATGTGTGAGTTTGTCTCTGTGTCTTGTATTCTATTCTATTTGTCTATGTGTCTGTTTTTACACCAGTACCATGTTGTTTTTGTTACTATAGCTCTGTAGTATCATTTGAAACTGGGWATTGTGATGCCTCTAGCATTGGTCTTTTTGCTCAGGATTGCTTTGGCTATTCTGTGTCTTTGTTCCTCTATATGAATTTTAGGATTACTTTTTCTAGTTCTGTGAAATGTCATTGATATTTTGATGGGGACTGCATTGAATCTGCAGATCATTTTTGATAATATAGCTTTTTATTTTTCCTCAATACTGGGGATTGAGCCCAAGCGAGCTTTATCACTGAGCTACATTCCTASCCCTTTTTGTTTTGAGATAAGGTCCCACTAAGCTGCTGAGAGTCTTGCTAAATTGCTGAGATTGTCCTTGAATATGTCATCCATATACCTTAGTCTCCAGAGGCACTGGGATTATAGGYGTGTGCCACTGCTCCCAGCAATCATTTTAACAATATTAATTCAGCCTATCCATAAACATGCAGGGGCAGGGAGGAGGGGGTCTGATCATCTTCCAGTGTCATCTTCTTTTTCCATTGTTCTGTAATTTCCCTTGTAGAGGTGTTTCCTTGGTTAGATTTGTTCCAGGGTGGTAGTGGCAACTGATGTTGAAGCTACTGTGAATGGAGTTATTTTCCTGATTTCTTTTCAAATCCCTTCTGTAGGGAAAATTCCTTAGGTAGACTTGATGCCTCCCACTTTCATACATCTAATACATTTTAGTACCCCTAACCCCTTTATTGAACGTCTTTCTTATCATGTCTATTTCCTCTCACTGGAATAAGATCTGGATCTTATTCAGCATGTACTAAGCACRTAATGTGGTCATGGTGTACAGTAGGTTCTCAGTAATGGTGACTATTATTATCCAGGGTAATTAGCACCTTAAGACCAGTATATTCTAAATGCTCAAGAAGTGTTGAGCTGAAATATCAGTATGTTCTTGCCACTTGTCCAGGGCCAGACAACTGCTAAAGTACCAGTCCATTCTGGGTTGTTAGGGAGTTCAAGATCTACTTCCACTACCAAAGACCTGGCATTGTACTTTTTTTCCCTTGCCTATTGGCCTCTGTGTTAATTTTCAAAATGGGTGGCTTCAACAATGTAAGTTTATTTTCTCATAGTTCTGAAGGCTAGAAGTAAGTACAAGATTAAGGTGTCCCCAGCACTGGTTTCTTCTGAGGCCACTCTCCATTGCTTATAAATAAATGCCTATCTTCATTTTCAAATAGCATTCTTCCTCTAAGTGTGACTATGTCCAAATTTCCACTTCTCATAGGTACACGAGTCAGAATGGGTTAGAGTCCACCCTAATGACCTCATTCTAACATAATTGCCTCTTTAAAGGCCCTAACTCCAAATGMRGTCTCATTCAGAAGGACTGGTGATTAGCATTTCAACATAAGAATTGTGCAGGATACAATTCAGTCCATAACTACCTATTGGACTGTGAGCTCCTCAAAAAGCAGGAACTTGGGCTTCCTTCTTAGGCACCATTGCACCTATCAGAACACCTGGAACACAGGAGATTCTCAGCAAATCATGTGTGGGATACAAAAGTGAAGGACTTCCCAGAAGTACAGTCCAAATCTGTAGCCTCAAAATCCCGTGGCCAGCACCAAGAAAATTTAGGTTTTACTCTTTCCCAGAAACAGTGTTTGTTGCTGTCATCATCTCTAGCTAGTTCACTGCCAAACACCTATTTATGTGGCACTCTATTCATAGCATAAAAATGAAATCCTTAAGGACAGATATCCAAAGCCGTTGACAATATCCTCTTCTCTCCASATCTATTCTAATATTTGCAGACAGCTTGGCTAGAGTCAGATTCAAGGTTAAAAGAAAACCAACACTGCTCTGCCTTCAGAACAAGGTGTAACAGTGTAGGATAAAGGAGCTGGGCATCTGCTGCTTTTTTCCTACCCAAAAGGAAACTTCCCCCTCTCTGTTCTGTGTGATTTTGGTAGACCTATCAATCACATAGTCTGCCTTCCCCAGTTTCAGGATGGGCACATGACGTAATCAGTTCCCCCACATTCTAGGAATTTGAATCCTATGTAGAGTGACATGAAAAATCATTGGAGGGAAGTCCATCAATCCTATGCCATTAAAGCTTCCTGGTATACACATCCCTGAAAGTTACTGACTTTCCCAAGGCTTGATCAACTATTTTTGTTTGAGACTTACCTGGTAGATTTCCAACAAATGCTTTTCCCTTAAATTACATAGTGAATCTTAACATATACAGGGCCTCTAGAAGTGGAGTGTGGAAGTAGTGGTCCTAAAATATGGAAATGGAATCAGGTAGTAAGGATTCCCCTATTTGCTATAAAGATGTTGTGCTCACAATCCTTATTATGCCATGGCAGAATAAAGTATTTGAGGATATAGTTCACTCACATGCCTCTCCTGCCTAAACCTGTAGGGAAGTTGGTAGGAAAATATCAAAATACTGGAGTATGTGGCCACTTCTGACTGTTCTTGGTAAGATCCTAGAAATGGGCCAGGTGYGGTGGTGCATACCTGTAATCCYGGCAGCTTGGGAGGCTGAGGCAAGAGGATCAAAATTTCAAAGCCAGCCTCAGCAATTTAGTAAAACCCTAAGCAATTTTGCAAGCCCCTGTTGCAAAGTTAGGGATGTGGYTCACTGGTTAAGCCCCTCCAGGTTCAATCCCTGGAACCAAAAAAAAAAAAAAAACACCAAGATCCTATAAAGGACTTCACTTCAGCCAAGGTGGCTATATGAATATAAAAAAAAAAAAAACCCTTCCTGACTTAGACTGACCCTGTTTCCTAGTAGAAATTCTAGATWCTAGAGAGGCAGATAATTAATGAAAGGCTATGAAATTTGAATTTTTGGCCCTGAGTCAATGATAATGCTAGAAAATACAAGGAGAAAGGAAGGAAACATAGCAAAAGATAAGATTGCAACCAAGAGAATTGGGGGAAGCCTGATCCCCCAAGTACCTTCTGATATAATCTCCCTCCCTGGCAAAGAACTAAGCATTGGGATGAAGCCAGAGGATGAGAAACAGACCAGCTTTGCCTTTATCCCAGAAGCAAAAACAAAAGTAACAAAATTAAGGGCTAGAGGATGGGCAAAGCAGTAAAGCTTTCTTCTAAGGCTAGGGCCAGAGTCAAGGGTCAAGCCACAGAGGAAAAATGTAGACTAGTAGGTTTGAAAACAAAAAGCTATCACTGCTCCAAAATCAATCTCCAGGTATCCTAGCCTACAGCACCAACAGAATTTGAGATACTGAAATACATACCCCTATCAAAAAAATCCTAGCCAGGGTGCATCTCAGATATATCTGTGAAATTCACTAGGCAATAAGGAGCAGGTTCAATAGTAGCTAGATACTTAAGTACATTAACTAAGTCACATGTCTCTGATATCAAAGAGAGAACTATAATTATAGGACAATAAGAGCTAAATACAATGACATCTGTAACACTCAAGACAAGTAGCAACTTTCTACAAAGACAAAAGAACCAGAAGATATAATATGCATAAACAGGAAAAAATTGAAAATGACTAACTCTGGAAAACACAATATATGTTAGAAAAAATGTAGGAAGAGTTCATATTTCTTCAATTGTACTAAGAGAATAGCTTTAATTTACAAAGACTCTAAATCAAATAAGAATATTTATCTCAAATCTCTTTTGCCCTTTTAGTTCATATGCCACGCCATTGGGGGAGCTGGACTACTAAACCAAGCCCTTTCAAAAGAAGCTGCTGGAGAGCAGCCTGGGGGCCACTGGCCTTCTTTTGTAGGAGGGAGAGCAGATGCTGCGGGTACCAGGCAGAATCACAGCAGCTTCCTAGAGTGCTCCCTCCARGTGCAGCACAGGCAGAAGGCACTCTTTTCTTATACCTGCTATGGAACTCCATCTCCCACAAGCAATGTAACCTTTACTATATCTCCATTAAGTGGCACAGAATTGTGGGAGCAGAGAAAACTTCCTGATTCCATAGATGGAGCTTACTTGCTAAAACAAGGAAAATGTGATTCCCCAGACCCACTGCATTCTCCCACCATTTTCACTAACTGCCTTGAGAAAATGGCATTAGAAACAACTAGAAGGCATATTTGTGTTCTATGAGCAAAGGAAAGAACATGGGGTGGGTGGGGTCACGGATGAGTAAGGGCAGGCTTGGAATGATTCTGCCAAAGATATTTTAACACTGGTGAACACAGGCCTTCATCTGGCTTATTAAAATAGTGCTGGGTAGTGAGAGGGAAGCTGGCACATTCTCGTGTAGATGAGATGGCCCTGGGGGTTTGAACGACAGTTGTAATACAGCTGCCGTGGCTAAAACTAAGCAAGTACAGATGTCACATCAACGAGGGAGTAATTTCATACTGTTCCAGGCTGCCAAATTCAAAATGCCAATGGAGGAAAAGTAGAGGTGAAGGAAGTCTTTAAAATAGACTAGATAACTATTTTAAATACCAATTCTGTGTGTAATTAAAACTTTTTGCTGCCGAGGTCCATGAACAACAGTTATTATGGCTTAAAGTACTCAATCAAAAATCTTACTGCTCAGCAAAATGAAGACAATACAATGTGCTGTTCTCAGAGATTGGAACAGCCACATCAAATTTAGTCACTAGACATTAGTCTTTGTCATTCCAAATGTTTGTTTATAAAATGTCCTTCTACAAGGCTTTATTTTTCCTCCTTCAGTAGTTGTTGTCCCTGTAAGCACAGCGCTCTGTCACTCTCTATGTCCCAAGCTGATGTATTAGATAAGATGAAATACTAAAAGCACACGGCATCACATAACAGTACTTGTTTCCTTGAAAAGCTAGATGAGAGGAAGAGATGATTCGTGTACGCACACACCCACACAAAACTTACCAAATGCCTTCTTGGGTTCTATTAACTTCAAGGTAAAGAGCTCCTCTTTTTTTAATTCCTTTAACTTCTTAGCAACTTCATAGTGACGCCACCCAACGATATTTTCTCCATTTATGGATTCAATATGATCCCCCACACAGATTGTTTTAACTGAGTCAATAATGCTACCATCTTTAATTCTCTGAAAGAAAAAAAATTGATGATGTTATAAAAAATAACTGTGARGCATCACTTTTCATGCTCCTGACATATTACATCTATTGTACTGACATACTAACAATGCAGCTAAGGCTCAGTTAAAGAAGACCAAACAGCAAAGAACCACACCATCTAACTGCCAATCATTCTTCATCTTCCTTATCATTCAGAATTCAATTACCTCACAGTTACCTCGTCCTCTGAGAAGCTTTCCCTAACTTCCTCCCACAGGAATGAGTAAGGTGCCACTGTCATCTTCTACAATACTTTTTGCTATATACACTGAGCTTTAAGCTAAGCACTTTACACTTGCTGTTTAATTTAATTCTAACAACATTTTTGGTAGATCAGGAAGATGGAGGCTTGAGAAAAACCAAGTGATGTCCCAGATTCAACAAACCACAGGGCAGTTGCTCCTTTTCTTCTCACTCACCGTAGCTAAATTATGATATCCTTGGGGACAGAGAGTCTAACACATCATTGTACGTCCTGTGCATGGCACAATGCCTGCACAGAAAATCCTTCTGTAAATGATTGTTGAATCATTTCAACATGAGATCCACTACAGAAATATAAAGCTTAAGATTTTTTTCTGTTGGCTACATTTTTTAAACCTTATTTACAAATACAAAGATTCAAATGGTATGATCTTGACTAAGAAGACTGATACGTAATAAGAGACAAGTGTGGTTATCATTCAGGAGTCAGTAAGAGTGATTTTATACTATTGTTCTTCCTTGGTCTATTTTAGATGAGAACTCAAGACTAAAGTAGAAACTTGAAACTCATCTTTCTTCAGTCTTCTCTATAATGCATCCATTATATAGAGTCTCAATATTAGATCTAAGGTCCTGTAATGGTTAATTTGAATTGTCAACTTGATTGGATTAAGAGATGCCAATGAGTAAGAGGTTTTCSGGTGTATCAATGAGGATGTGTTTTGGCATGTGGGATAATCAACTGAAGTGGAGACCCTCCCTACGCATGAGTGGCACCATCCAACAGGACCATGAATTGGATGGAATATAAGTTGGAAGAGCAAGGAAGCAGCAGCAGATGCAAGCTCGATTCTTCTTGAATAGGTTCTTGATTGCTGCTGCAATCAACTGACTCTGGCTTCTTCACTCTTCCAAAGCAGACTCTGCCAGTGATTCTCCAGAAGCCTTCAGTCTAGTATAGCACCATTGATCCCACTTATACTTCCTGTTATTCCGTCCCTCTAAAGAACCCTGACTCATCCAGGCTCCTAAGATGGCACCAAGAATTTCTGAAAGGATTTTAGGGACAAGAGTTCTAGAAAACTATGCAAGGGTAACACTCCTGCATGAATGTACAAGTACTTCCACAGTGACAAGAAGTGGGTCAAAATAAAGGMCATCAGCTGCCTCGGGAGTCACAAATCCTTCACGGGAATGACAGGACAAACGCCAGGTGCTGCTGCTACTTCAAAAAAGCTGGTGTATTCCCCATCCTTGCCACATGGACGTGTAACATCTTCTGATTGAACATTGTGTCCAATGAGAGAAACTGATCTCATGTACCTCAGCATCTCCATAATACCATCATCAAAAAAAAAAGTTGTAAAAGATGAACCTGAGAAGGTTGGGATTTTTTTATGAAAAATGTGAGTAGATTTCCTTTTTTACACTTAAATTTTAAGAATATTGCTATGTTCATTGTTACAGTATTACCACGCTACATGCAAATGGAAAATAATACCAATTTAAACAGAGTTTATTATTTATCATTACAAATTGTTAATTATAAAGCAAAGAAACCGGAAATTGCATAATCTGGCATTGTTTTATTAGAAATCCTTATTAGACTTCTATAGTTAACAAAAACAAAAGTAATCAGAACATACCATTCAATACAACTACATTTTCTAAACTGCCACAGAAAAATAAACAAGATTAAGCAACAGATTAGAGTCTAAAGAAAAAAATTTAAACATACTGTTACATAACCATTTTAAAGGTATTAAAGAATTTAACTTGRACTGTTTTCTTAACTTTTATTCTAATTTATCTCTTGATATAGCTTGAAACTATTTTATATTTGATTAAATTATACCATGCAAATTTCAGTGTTCTACTACATGCTATTTTTAGTTTTTCAGACTTATTTTTATGAGTTTATTAAAAATAAGCATTACATAAAATTAATAAGTAAAAGACCTAAAAGTCACGCCTCACCCTTACTCCTGAAATAATGGTTGGAGTAATAGCAATTTCTCATTGCCCAGGCTACTGAGTAGGTATAACTGTCACTAGAAGAGGACCCAGACCAAAGGAGGAAAGGCAGTTACCAGGAGTCAGAGCAGGCAGCAGAGTGAGAATCCAGGCAGAGAATCTGGGATGAAAGAAGGGAAAATCAGTATGAGAAACTTAGAGAGGAAAACCAGAAGTTGGGCCAGATTTAGAAGCAAACTTGGAGACATTGATTATTTATAGAATGGGTTACCTGGAACTTAGCCTCCTAAATAGGTAGAATGAAGAATGAGGTAGCAATGGGGACTGAACCCAGGGGTGCTCTATCACCATCCTACATCCCCAGTCCTTTTTATTTTTTATTTTGAGACAAGGACTCACTAAGTTGCTGAGGCTGGCCTCAAACACAGTCCTCCTGCCTTGGCCTTCCAAGTCTCTGGGATCAACAGGCATGTACCACTTACCTCAGCTGGTTTTTACTTTTTTTTTGAATGGTTTTTAATAATCAAAACAATATTTATAATATGAAAATTATAAGAAACCTAAATCACAGTATCTGTAAGTAAGGTTGGTCCCACAGGGAAACATCCATACTCACTCAAGTATTGCCCATGCCCAAGTCGTTGACATAGCTGAGTAGTTGCAACAGAGGCTGTACAACCCACAAAGCGCAAAATATTTACTATCTGGCCCTTTACAGGACATATCTGCCAGTTCCTGTCTCAGTCTAGACTAGAAATTGGTTTCATTATAAGCATGATTTAAATTTTCTAACGAAGTTATTTATATACTTTTTGTCCTGGGAAATGTTGAGACCTGGATGTTAAAATCATGACTGTTTAGGTCCGCTGTCTTTTCACCTGAGGAGTTTCACCTGTGAGAATCGTGGAGAACTACAGAAAGCATTTATCTGCCATGTCTCTCTCTCTCTCTCTCTCCTAATTATGTAATGATTTATTGTTACTAGTTTTATGATTAAAGTATTAGCTAACAATTAAGAACACTGTCAGGTATTTTCACGTATTAYCTTTATGTCTCAAATAACCCTATAAGGTAGATGCTAATATTTGAGAGAAGGTTCAGAAAGGTTCAATGACTTAATCAGCGTCACAGGCTTGTCTGATTCTACATTCCCAGCTTTATTCATTACACTGTACTGCTTCCCCAATCTGGAGTCCTGCCCCTTGCCCTTAAATCCTATCACTGTCCTACTCTTACTTTGACCTACTCTTACTTCCAGCTACTATTAAAAGCACATTAAGTATTTACTTCAGTACTATATACACTGAAATTGTAATCATACAGAAGAGACAAGCATGGTCCCTGCACAAGGATAGCATGCAAACTCATGCACATTCCATTTTTTTTTTTCTGCTTATTTTGGCCAAGATAAGAATCACAGGAAGGATACGTCAGAAATGAATAAAACTGATTACTTCTAAGAAGTGGGGGAAGCTAATTGGGTAGAAGGAGTAGGAGAAGAAATGGTACATCTTTGAATATATATTTTAATATAGTTTTGACCTTTTTTGAATCATATAATATTTTTTATATTCAAAAAATAAAATTAGCTAAACAGGGATGAGGAAAAAACAAACAGAAGCAAATGGACTCAATAGTATTTCAATTGAAGCGCATAGTCACCTGTGGTAGGGGGAAGTAGGAAAAAACTATTCCAAGTAACTTGTGAATACAAAACTTCAACTCTATATAATTTATACACACATACACACACACACAATCTAAAAACGAAATGAGTGCATTCAGATCCTGAACTCTTCTCAATAGGTTTATTTTCCAGAGTATTTATGGATATAGCAATACTGAAACTGGTTGGTATAAATTACAGGACTAAGTAAATGAGTATTTATTTGAATAAATTTCAAAGTAAATATTTTTATAGAAAACCCAAGGAATAACCTTGAGATGAGAATGAAGCATAATTATGAATTCATCATTTCTAATAAACATGTTTTTCTTTGTTTTGGTTTGTTTGTTTGTTTTTTGGTACTAGGGATTGAACCYAGAGGCACTTATCACTGAGTCACATCTCCCATCCCTTTTCTGTATTTTATTTAGAGACAGGGTCTCACTGAGTTGCTTAGGGATTCACTAAATTGCTGAGGCTGGCTTTGAACTTGCAATCCTCCTGCCTCTACCTTCTGAGTTGCTGGGGTTACAGGCATGTACCACCATGCCCAGCATAAACATGTTTTTCTAATGTTATCACTGAAAAGACCTAGAAATAATAAAACTCCAGTAGCAATGAAAGAGTACAACTCATAACAGAACTTGAATTTGAAATATAATTTTAAAAAATCAGAGTTCCTTAGAGAAATTGTTGAGTCTAGGCCTGGGAAAAGGAAGACATAAGATGAGCCTAGAACATCTTGTGCCAGAAAGTAAGGAATTGCTCTGTTAAATGATGGAAGCCACATTGAAAGAGCCAACAGGATTCCCACAGGCCAAATCTCAGAAAATTTGAGCATCAAAATCAATTATAGTGCTAGCTTACAACCCATTGAATAAAATAAGAAATAATGTACTCATGCTAATAAATAAATAAGTAAATAAGTAATGACAGCTTTTTAAAATAGAATGTTTTCTAAGAAATATATAAAGAATGATGGTATTGGGAAAACCTCATTTTGCAACCATCATAGGAAAAATTGATTCAAGCAAGATATATCAACAGATGCTAGATGTGTGGATTGTGAGTAAGGGAATAGGATATTTTCATAATCTCAAATTATCTCCCCACCATTATTTATTA